GTTGTGAACACATACACTTACAACAGCTTCAAAAAGGAATTAAGACAAATTCAGGGAGAAACAAAGATACTGAAGGAACATACAAGTAGGGTGATCTTGGGTACAAAGGAAATGGACTGCACAAAGTTGCCAGACCTATGTGCTCCCTGTAAATAGCATCTCCTACTTCTGGGGAAACAGCAGTGAACTAGAGGAATTACTGATCTAATTTGAGAAGACCCTTCTTATTTTGTAAAAACAGTAAAGTATCAGATTTCATCAGCTATATCAACTTACACTAACAAAGAGTTACAAAGGAGCTACTGCCATTATACCAGCTTAGAAGCCAGTTAATTGTGATGTTCAAGAATTACACTAACAGTTGATAAAATAGTTTTATTGGATTTAAACATTCTCCTAAGATATAAAAATGGAATTGACTTAAGAACATTTTAAGAGCTGTATTTTTTTACTGTTTGTTTGTTGTTTTTTTGGGTTTTTTTTAATTATAAAGATAAACTTCTTCTAGATCTATCCCATGTGTTAAGATTTAAACTTGCATGGAAAATGCTCATAAGTAAAGATCAGACACTAGACTTCACAATTCTACAGCACCAAAAGCAGACAGGAAAGCTCATTAGTGTGAGCAATAGAACAGATATCTGTAATGGAATTATAATGAACCCTCATGTCAGACTTAGTTAAAAAGAAATCTTTAGGCATTCCCCAAAAGTGGCCTTTGTGGAGGGACTTGAAGCTGTCTTTTCATTTCACAGTTTGCATTATTCTAGCCCCTTGCAAAAACAATGGCTAAGTGGCTCAAGCACTGTTAGATGCTTGACTCAGACAGAAAGTATAAAGCCAGATTTCAATAGAGTGCATTTTCTCACTCTATAGAAAGATCAAAAAGATTTCCACTCACTTCCACTTTCTACAATGCCTTCTAGGTTGATTATGAAGTGAAGTTGATTATGAACTTCAACAGGTCAAACAGTTGGCCATTGTACTGGAAGGAGTTACCGTTTCCTACACAAGTGCATTAATGTTTAACAGATTCTAAGAATGCATATATTGTACCCTGCCCAATATATGGTTTGTAAAGAACTATATATCTCAACATTTTAGGAGTTGCAAAACACCAAACAAATAAAAAAAAAAACCCAAACAACCCCCAGAAAATAAAAGAGGAAAAAGAAACCAAAACAAGAAGTTTTTAGTTTGTTAGGGTTTTTTTTTTTTTTTGTTTTTCCTTTTAATTCAGGGTTTCTGTTTCATTCAAAGCAAGATTTCAATACCATATCAGTGCTTCCCTTTTCTCCTTTCTCTCTTACTCAGGCACCTGGGTATTCCTTACAGTATTTTCTCAACATGTAGCTTAGGGAGAGGTTGTCGGTTGTGATAGAAGAACAACTTAGAAGAAGCTGTCTTAGGAGAAAATGAGATGAGCCTGTCTAATCATAGGGAGAAGATAAATCTGTTGTCTTTCCATGTTTTCTTGTCATGTGGATTTGAACACTCCTCTAGGGGCTTCACTTCTTGATGGAACTTGGCTGAGCTTTTCGCCATCTGTGAGAAGGGGAGATGAGGGTGAGGCTGGGCCCCTAGCTTGACTCCTGCAGCCCCAGCTCCAACCACCTGCCTAGTTGCAAGGTATGACTAAATGGACTGGATATTTGTATCCAGCTAACAGTAAATAGCAGCTCAGTTAAATTAAAATAACTAGGCTACAGTGAAAAAACCCAAAGACTAGAATGCCATTAGACACTAGAAAAGACAGAGCTTATGGAAGAAGTTCCTTTTACTTTTTTTTCTCTGAAGGTGTGAACTGAAAATTGAGACAGGAGGTGGAAATTTCAAAGGGATTGGTTGTGTGTGGCCCAGGAAAGACATTCCTCAGAGAAACTTCCCCGAACAACAGCTCAGCATTTGCTGTGAACTATGAAAACTATGTTTGTACATGGTTATCAGCAATATCCTATGATTCTCTGAACATTTTCATTCGACCTGTTTTCCTCCTGGGAATGAGGCAGAATGTGCCTTTCATGGGTGTCCTCACAGCCCTGGGAGCAGCACTGATGAGAGGCAGGAGGTTGTAGGTTAGCTGCTGCCTTTGCCTTGCTACAGCAGCTCCCCCAGCACTACAGCAGGCAGATGAAGCTTCTGCTGTTTCATCTTCCTGTTCCCAGTGGATTTCATTGAGCTGTGTCTGAGCCTAGGGAAAGCCGCAGGGCTGAGCTCACACACCTCTTTCCAGTAGGCCTGCTAGATGCATGCTCTAATTCATGCTAGGTGCCTTTTGTCCCTAAAACCTGCCTGTTTGAAACAGGATTCAACTTTCCTGTGCCTTCGTGCCTAATCTTATCAGTCCCAAGCCCACAGCAGCGTAGACAGAAGCTCAGGGCTTCCACTTGTCCTGCATGTGAACACCTGGCACAAACTGCCAAAGCCTGGCTGAATCCTCACACATCTACACATTGCCTCTCTGTCTCTAGCGCAGATCCCTCAGAAGGTATCAGTGGGCATATTTTGTAAAGAACACTTTTTTAAAAACAAAAGCCACTGGATTAAGACAACAAATAAAGAGAAGCATCGTTATTTAAATATCTTTATTATCTTAAATAAAGCCTTTATTTAAATGCTGTATCTTCAGACTGTAACTGAAACAACAGAAAATGAAGTAGAAGCACATATAAATAAAAAGTAGGTATCTCTTCAGACCTTTTCTACTTTTATAGTTTGCAACTGTATTTACCACTCCAATGAATCTACTTTGTTCAACAGCTTCTGATATGTATTCAGTAGCAGCAATCCAAAGAAAGTGGTTTTGTTTGCCTGGTTCTGAGAGAATATCCAGGAGATGGTGGGGCTGACAGCTGACTGCAGACCCTCACAGTGCTGCTCCCACCCTAGCTCCAGATGCCCTGCAAGTGACAGCTTTGTTGCACCTAAGACAGTCATTGAACAAGCATGCTCTGACAGAGTGCTTCAGGCACTCCTAGAAGTGCAAACATGCAATATATCTATTGTGCATGTAATGAGTCACTTTGAACAGCAAATGTGTGTCATGCAGAGATTTTGTAGGACATTTTGTAGAAACAAATATTCCCACTGAGCATTAGCATGAGACCAGAAGCAAGACCAACACTGTTCCTTAAACCAGATGTTTAACAGAGGTTGTGACATCTGAAGAGACGAGCAGACACAGAATACATGCAGTGCATGCTGACTCAGAATGAGGCATATCATTTCAGAGTTAAAATACGATTTTTGAAGTGTTGTAAAATTCTTTACATCACTTTCCCCAATACTCCTTCAGATCTTGCACAATTAACCACAAGTAGCAAAACATAATTTATCTTTTGTAACATTCTCCTTTTCTCCTTTTTAGCGTCTATTTAAAGGGAGGCCAATGTGATTACTTACTGAGGTTACTTACTTCCCTGGAATAAATCAGAGTGAGAGTGGTGAGCAAGTACATAAAATCTGGCCTTATCTTTCAATCTAGATACTAAGCAACTCACTGGGAGCTTCTCGTCAGTGGCACCTGACTGGTTCTCTACTCTGGTAACTCAGTATTTTTTGCTTTTCTAAACTATGCATTTACTTTAGTTACGTCTTTTGTCCTGTAGACTTGGCAGCTTGAAGTTAAAAGTTATTCAGTCAATAAGGAATGTGAAAAATATTTCACTCAAGAAAGTTGTAGTTTTGCACCAAGTATTTTTACAAACCCTAACAAGTACATCCATGCTTTGCTTTTAGAAGTTAAAAAATTGACACTGAAAAGGCATAGCAATGTCATGCTTGAAGCCATTTCATACAGCATCAGCTTGTGACTTTTAGAGCCCTTGGAGGGAAGTGGCAGGAGGCACTCGCCAAACTTCATGTGTGGGATGATAAGGGTAAGGCAGTAACAGCTGGAGGGAGCCCCACTGGAAGCTGTCTCAGGGGAGGACTTGTTTGTCCTCAGCTTCATGAGTTTGCCATTAGCTTAAAATAATGGAAAGCAGACCATGAGAGGATCATGGTCAGGGGATGGGAGTTATCACCATTACAGTACTTATGGCATGGTAACCTCAGAATCATCTGACTTCCATGGAGACAATGGGACTTCTGCTGTAAACAAGAATGTTCCTCGTCTCCCACCTACACTGTCACTTTCTTACTACCTCTTGACATGGAGTCAAGCTTGAGGAATGCAATGGGAACAGGAACTGATGTTTTGCTGCATGGAGGGAAGGCAGAAAACTAAAGAACCTTATGAGGTTTATGACAGCAGAATGAGCATATGACCTGCCACCACATCTCTTGCCTGACCTATTCTTAGAGATGGGTGGATGGAAAAGGCTGAGTCACTCTCTCAGCTGCAGAAGACCAAGCTGTGCAGAAGGAGCCTGCCAGCCAGGGCTCCAAGCCATGCAGGATAAGGAACTGCCCTATTTCTTGGAGCTCTTTGCAGCAGGTGGCTAAACTCCTCCACCCCATATCCCTTCCTCTGCCTCATTCCTCACTATTCCCTAAAACAAAGAACAGACTTATCAGCAACAGCCTAATGCCAGTAGTCCCAAGCAGTTCCCTTCCAGCAGAGATTTCAGGTTTTGCAGGCCTGTCTCTCTTCCGCTTTAATGGAAATCACATGTACGTGATAGCTTTTAATGAGATGCCATTTTGTTAGAAAGACTTCAAGAACATTGCTGAGTGATTTTGTCCATATTCATTTAGCACTGTCACAAAATCCAGTGATACTGTAGAACATAACATCCCTAAAATTTGATCTGATCAGCTTGCTGTGGCTATTAGGTCCCTTGGCCCTGATCTTTCAGAGAAGAACCTGCCTTATTTCATAACATTGCAATTCTTCAAATCTACAAGCTCTTGAGAAAGTAAGACAAAAAGACAGTAACTTTTTCCTGAAAAAGAATAATTGTTCGAATACTCCTAGCAGACTGATGCAAGTCCACCTTTACCAAACAACATTGAACACTGAACATCAAGAATGTTTTACAGGAAAAAATGTTACTTACACGGCTTCCTTTTTCAGGGAAACACTGACATCCTCCACTGCAGTCTCTGCCTCCACATGGTCCTGTGTAAGTCTTTCCACCCTGCAAACCAGAACACACATAAAATGAAAGTTAAAAGATATCAGCTACAATACCTGGCACAGCACAATAAGCTTTGATTAACAGGCTTGCTGGGAACTTGCCCAAGCAAAGACCAGGATCAGATCTATGACTTCCAGTTGAAACTTCTTTAATCTCTGCTTAGAAGGAGCCGTGAGTGGCTTTCCAGTTCTTGGAGATCAGCATCAAGAAATATAATGCTCCTGTATTAATTTCCCTTCACATTTTCAAAACATTGCAGCTCCATGCTGAGCAGTATCTTGCACATCTTTCTGACACATGCAACAGATATCGTATCACAGAAGTGCAGCTGCTTGGATTCTTCAGGGACAAGGACTAAATCCTAGGTCACAATGCAGCACATCCTTCCATGCATGCTCTAAATCTTTTCTATACTTTAAAATAGTTATGGGTGGACAAAAGGAAGATGTAAGTATCAGGTTCAAAATCATAAGCCAAACTCCTGCTCTCTCCTCTTCAATGACTATCTATTCTAGAGGCACCTAAAACTTGCTAGCAACCAGCCACTGTGAAATAGAAGTCAGACACAGATTAAGTAAGATGGCTGCAGTTACACCTCTCCTGCCTGTCCAGAACCACCTTGGCCTGGCCTGAAAATACATGGATCACAAAATATGCACCATTCTATATAAATCCTTGGATGGTCTTCAACAGGCAGGACAGCTCTGATTACACCTAGCACACTGCCTGCATGAAATGCAGCAGCCACAGTCACTCTTGTTCAGAAACCTGAACAGCAGAGATGCTGGGAATGCTGTGGTGTGACTTTTATAACTGTAACTTAACCATTAGGAATACTGTGAAGACCAGCCTGAAGCCCACCTAAGCCCAGGGTTTTGAAAACCTGAAAGTGCCCCATCAGCCTAGTCAGTAAACTGGGAAAGGAGGAAGGGATTTCTTGTTGCTATTTCTAAGCCTGGTTTGCCCCACAGTAAACAGTTAATGGAGCCAGAAGGAAAAGAGAGAAGGATGTCTGAGAGGCACAGCCCCTCAGTCAGGGTGGCTGCTAATTTTCATGTGCATTGCTCCTTAGACAAAAACCCAAGGCACCCCAACTGTAAGATACAGGTTCTATGTGGCTTGCTCCACTACTGGATGGAAGAACCCTGAATCCTTTGTTGCACTGGGGCAGGAAAAAATGGTCCCTTCACCCTTCCTGCCCTTTCATAGCTTGAGCTGGAAGGGAGGTGACGGTGGTATAAACAAGCCCCAAAACAAGATGGGTGCTCTATGCTGTTGCTTAAATAGGCTCTGATGCTGCTGCTCCTGCCTGTAGCCCTGACTCTAGGACCTAAAACAGAGAAGGACCGACATTGCCACACTTAGCATTTTTCACGTCTCTTAGTAATCCCCTACTCAACACCTGGGGTTGTTGGATCACATTTCTCAGGTACCCACTCCTGCCACTACACTACCGAGAACCTGAAAACAGTTCAGGGCTTTGGATTTCTCCCTGGGAGCCAAATGAATAAAAGATATGGAGTAGGTACCAGGCATTGCCTAAATTCTCCTTTGGTCATATCTGCACAACAGACTCTGCATTACTGCTACGAGAAGCAGTAATACAAAGTTCCCAATGTAAGCTCTTATACTTGTCATGAGAGGGTTAATGTCTGTATCTGAACTATTTTATATATCAAAGTAATTTCATTTCAGCTTTGTATTTAATTCTCACATTTAACACTGGGCTTTTCAAATTGATAAAAGAGGTCCACAGAACTGAAACCACGGCTGCTATTTAAAGCTTAGGTGTGTGATTCAGAAAATTATTTCATGGATGTAACAATGCTCTACATCATGCTATGAACTCTGCTTTATGTTTAGGCTATTATTTAGAGGAAATCATAAACCAAGACAGTTTTATAACCTCTATTGCTTGCTCAGGTTGGTCCATTTTTTAGTTAAATATTTGGATGGTCACAAACTCACTCTCTCTCTCTTATGTTTTGGTGGGTTTTTTTCTCATTAACCTATTTGCAGATGAAACATGCCTCTCCGTGAGTATCTTTCATTTCACAGTTTCCCTCCAAGTTCTTTTTCAGAAATTAAGGATAGTTCTGTTCATTTTTACGGATGCCATGCAGATGTAAGACCTGTGTGAACATATTCCTCTGCAGGATGCAGGACTTCATTAAGGAACACTGTGTTAAGTAGTGCTGCCATTAGTAAGAATAAATTCTGAACTTTTAGAGATCTGTTTTGGTTGGAGCTGTAACAGCCTAACAGTAACAGACTGACAGATACAGTAATTTTACCATACGAGTTTTCAATTATACTTACTGAGAAAACAACAGGGAGAACAATAAGTTTATTTCTTTATTAATTAGCAGAGTGACTCTAAATTTGGTAAACTGTTGCTAAGGGGAACATAGAGTATGAGTAGGAACTATGGCAAGATTATTTGTGTACTTGTGTATGAAAAAAACCCCGAGGTTGCTAATGCATATTTCAACTGGAATAAGTTCAAGGTCTATTGTTTGTGTACTATCCACCATCCAACATTCTAATTTGTATGCCATAACAATACCGGCAGCTAATGTGGGGACACAATTGTTTTCTTCCACAATTTTAGGAAGTTTTTTTTTTTTTAATTTTCTCATTTTATGTCCTTTTAAGCACATAGATTCTTTAGATAATCGAGAGAAAAATCTGGAAGATTCCAAAGGTAGGGAACATAATGGGAAAACATTTGAGACCAGCAATAATATATCTCTTCTGGATTATACTTGAGCTCTCCTTATTGCCTAATTTCCACTTCTTTACTTTTTGACTGCTAGTGAGATGACCCTGGAGCTTTTAGTCACATGTAGTGTTTTTTACTTTATTACCTATGAATGTTTATAACTCCTTGAAGGCAGATCATTGCACTGCCATAACTGGGAAGTTACACTATAAAACATTATGGTTTAAAGGTTTGTTTACATTTAAAAAACAAATCTATTCAGAATCCTTCTAAAACTTCATCAAAACCAATTATACACATGGGCTTACAACTGAGATGAAGGGAAATCACATGGACATGCATCAGTCAGTAATTAGAATGCAGAAAGTCCAGTTTAAAATTCAGTGATGGACAATGTAGTTTTAAAGCACCAAAACTATATATGCCCTGAGGAAAACAAATTTCTGGGAAAATAACACCAATGGTGACAACCAAACGTGGCTCTTTTGATATAAGATGGGTGCCTAGACTACTGTTTAGATCAATGGGGAGAACAACCAGTCCTAGGATACAATTCACCCCGTCCTGATCCTGCCATCTAAACTGATAAACTGCACCCTTCACAGAAAGCGCCTACTACTTTCTCTGAAACTTAAGAGGTGGGTGGAGGTGACTAGCTTACATGCAGACATCCATGCCCTGTATAAGTCTGATGACAGGGAGGTGAATCTCCTGATTTGATCAATATGCAGTTAAATGGTGAAAGCTTAAAGAACTATTTGCAGCAGAATGGCGTTCTAAGATTTGTGCAACAAAGCTGGAAGACTGGCAACAGTCCCCAGTTCTGAAGTTGTCTATTGAGAAAACATTCAATTCCAGGTCTTGGTCATGTTTTGGATGATCCCAATTCCACTAATCTCAAAAAGTCCAGAATCTAGGAAGAGTCTAGAAACGGGGTTTATATAGTCTAATTTTAAATTTCTGCAATATAGGCACAACATCTGGCTGCTATTATAGACCATCCAGAGAATCTCATCAGGTCTATTTTAAACATCTGAGCTAAACCTCATCCTAGAAGGGTGAGCAGATTAGAAAGGTAGTCTAGGGTAACTGGTTGAGATGTGTTTAAAGTGTAGATGTTCAGCTTCACATGAGAGGGATCCTATGCTAAGTGTCCAAATCTCATCCTTAAAGCAAGCTATGGCCTCTGATGGAACACTGAGTGTCAGAAAATCAAACACATTCTTACTGCTGGGAAAGCTGTAACCAGCAGCCTGCAAATGAGGGTGGAATGCATGAAGAAAGGGAACAAGGAAAGCAATACATGAAAAAGGGAGAAGAGGGTTTTTTCCAACTCTCTTTTTAATATCATTAAAGAACTTTGCTGGAAAGAATATAAAATTGATGGTTCAGGAAATGTGAATACTGCTTAAACACAAGCAAGATAAAACATGTAAGTGCCATGTATGTTTGTAAAGCTTTTGTATTATTCCAGTGTAAATAACCCTCATTTTTATTTATATGAAATCGCAAGTGTAAAATACTTTTTTTCCCTCTTGCTTTCCCCTTGTTTCTTTTTTGTCACCAAACAATATTATTTATGTACTTACACATCTTCAGCTAACAAAAGACAACTTAATTGCAGTTTCCTTAAGCCAAACTCTTAAAAAACTCAAAAGCATATATGCCATTATCTTTAAACTTTTTCCCACATTAATGATTTATTTATTACTGATCTTGGCCACATCTGCGTAATCGTTATCTCTGTGTGCCTATTCAAGTACCTTCACTTCAAGGGTTGATATTCTGACAAAGAACAAAGGCAACAAGAGGACAAATCTCAAAGTTCTATGAGTACAGAAAGCCCAGGAAATATAAGCCACTTCCTTACATACAGCTCAAAAAATTAGGGAAATTATAATGAAAATACTGCAACCTGGAATCAAAAGACTCTGCACACTGACATCTTCTTTGATAAAGTTTTATATGTTGCACTTGTACACTAACTTCCGTCCTGACAGCCCCATTGTGTTCTTTCCATCAATCACAGCAGCTCCTCTGAGCCAGCTAAGCTTCACCAAAGGAAGCTTTAGAAGGCTTGGGAGCTTGCTGAAAAGCTGAACTACGACCAGGGGTGCTGACATACTGCATGCCTCTGTGGTGTGGCAACGAGCAGCATGTTTGGACAACTCACGTGAGACTTCAGCCTGGAAGTCCTGAGGGGATTCCTGGCATGCCTGCAAGGCAGCCCTCTATGTCACTGCCACGGAGAACCAGACCGGCCCACACCTCCAGTACG